TCAGAAAGCAAGTAAATTAGCAAATCTGAGAGACCACGAAGGCTTCCCATGGGGGACAGACTTCATATGCACTATATCTTGATGGACGGATCGACACATAGCAGCTTGTTTCCGCATAATTTAATAGAGATTATTCAATGAGATCGACTTAGCGTTACTGATGTCAAGTGACGCAGCTATGTAGGCATGGGGGTCCGTAATTGGGAGTTAATTAAGGAATAAATAAGGGATACTTGGAAACAATTTTTAAAATTGCGAAAATTGCAATGCACTCTGCATATATTTGTTTCTCAGAAAGGACCTTCTGTTTTTTCTGCAGACTCACAAGTCGAGGTTGATTAATTATACCTACCAGCTGCAATTTTTTACAGTAAGAAATGATTGGCAGTATAAAACAAAAAAGTAACCAGTTTTCCATCCCACATCAGCCTTCGAGGGTAGGGTACTAGGGTGTCAGGGCAATCCACTCGAGCCTACTAGAAGTTTTGCAAGCTCCGAGGATTTGGAAGATTAGTGGGGTTGAAAAGTAAAGTGAAAATGTATCGAGTTTCCAGATTGTGCCATGTATTTGGCAATTACTAAAAATAACTTGTGAAGGAACTAGTTGTTTTCAGAATTTTCGACCGTATAGGGCCGAGAAGGAAGAGAAAGACCCCTGACAGAAAAGTCAAACAGGCTAGAAAGTTATCGTACAACATTTTCCAAGCCAGAACTGATTTTCAATAGCAAACCTCACCCAGGGACGAACATAACGGATTTGCAGAAAGGAATTGAATTAAGGCGACACGAAACGAAGCGTTAGTTGCACTGCTGAACACAGCTGAAACAAATGTCTGAGACTGGTAATTACCATTGCTAATAGGTTTTCTAGAAAATGCTTGTACATGTCGAACAGAGTCCGAGAATTCCCAGAATGAAAGCCAATCGGCTGGCTGCGAACACATTTTCCAGTCGATTACTTCCGCAACGGAGTGCTTGCAACACTTTCTACGGAAATACCATGAAAAACGAACTAAGAAATGCTAACTTACAGTAACCAAGCATACCTTTTGGATTTCATGGTATTTGAAAAGTAATTCTCATGCACCGCTCGAACTTGTGGGAAAAAATCTGCTACTCGTTTGTTCGATTCTTTTCGCTGAACTGTCTTACACAACTTTTGCAAGGGAGTATCCAATGGAATTGGGTGAACGCCTAGGTTCATTAGAGGATCGAAGGATAAAGTCTCTGGCTCCAACCAAACCCCTCCTGAATGCTCCCAGCGTTCGACTCCCATTCAGAATCGTAGTGGCGTTTGAATGCGTATATGCTCTACGTATACAATGAAATGCGCTGCCAGTCGATTTTCAAGCCAGGCTTGGGTTTTTCTAAAGTAGTCCGGTACCAAATGG